CTGTCCATGGGCTATGCATATATGCATATAAATTCATTGGTTAATCTCTTCCCACCCCCACCCACTGCCCCTGAAATACGTCAGTCTGTTGGATGCTTCAATATCTCTGGATCTTTTTTGTTCATCACTTCATTTTGTTTCTTTAAAAACATTTCAGCAACTTATTTGTTCTATTTACGTAATTCCAAACTTCTACTTTTTTTCAGGAGATAAATATATACTATACATAACTGTAATCTATGTATGACTTTTGATTTTTTATATATTATCATAAATACATATTTCAGCCCTGGCTGGTGTGGCTTAGTTGGTTGAGCATTAACCTGTGCACCAGAAGGTTGCAGGTTCAATTCCCAGTCAGGGCACATGTCCGGGATGTGGGCTTAATCCCCAGTAGGGGTGTGAGCAGAAGGCAGCCGATCAATGTTTCAATCTCACATCTGTGTTTCTCTCTCCTCCTCCTCTCCCTTCCTCTCTCTCTAAAAATCAACAAAAAATCTTTTAATTAAGAAATACATACATATTTCAACAATATTGACATAGTTCATATACTAAAATTAATGTATACTTTAATCTTATTACTGTAGGTAAATGATTTGAAAGTTGACCTAGATGATGAATAGTTCTTTTTAATAGCTCTCCTGAGGTGGAGAAAGGTGAAAGTAGTAGTTTTGCTTTCCTGAAAAGTACATATTATCTTTAGACTAGGAATTTACTCAGCCTGTTCTGAGAAGTTTCCTTAAATCTGTTAAAAGGTTTATTAGCTCACATGGTGGCAGGAAGTGTGAGAGAGTGTTAGAGAGCAGAAAGACTCAAGAAAGGGAAGAGATTAGAGTGGAGCAGGAAGAAGGGGGAACTTAAGGAGAAGAAAACCTGACCAACGGAAAGGGATGTGTGGTGTCCCCATGGAGGCAGGACCTGCAGGCCAGGCAGCTAGAGGGGCTTCCTGTGACTAAGAAAAGAGAACACTAGTGAGTGGACTACCCCCTAAAGATAGCCTGGTCACGGGGTAGGCAAGGCTGGGCAGCTGCCTGTGACACACTCCACAAAGGGAACCAAAATATCCCCAGAAATATAATGAAATGAGGAAAATTGAATTGATATGAACTGTCAAGGAGAATCCTATTTGAGGATGACAGTTTACTATGGTACTTCTGTTTTAGTAACAGGATGTGTAAGTTTCTTTGGGTCCAGGGCTGAATTGCCTGAGGCAGTAGAGCAAAGGAGCTGCAGTGCCATCGTCCCTAAAAGCTTGAGCCAAGTCTGAAATAAAATATCAATCTAGAATCTGGGTTTGTAGGAAAGATGGTCACAGGTCTGCTCAGGTTTCCCACATCTCCACCCAGTCTTGCCTGTTCCCCAGATTCTCCCTGAAATCAGGGTGGGGAGGAAGAGTCCATTCCTGGAAGTCTGGGATAGATGGAAAAGGGCAAGGGAAAGAAAGAGAAGGGAAGAAGGGGAAGTTAGGGAGAAGACAGAGATGTAAAGAAAGGAAGAAGAAAACTAGAAAGAACAGCAAAGAGGAAGGGGAAGGAAGAGGAAGGGAAGAAAAGGCCGGGGACGGACTCTAAGGAGAGTTGACT